GCAGGGCAGAGGAACTGAAAATGCTGGCTGTTGTAAAAATAAAAAAATTAAATAAAATCTTTGAAACTAAGCTCACAAAAGTTGCTGGAGATCCTCACCAGTCCCTCAATTCACTAGTCTTACAGTGTGAACCAGAATAGCCCACCCAAGCTGGTGTATGACTCTGGGTGTACCTTTGTTCCTGCAGAGCTGATGTTTTGGTCCTCTCTTTTCCCCATTCCTCAACTTCTTTCCCTGGAATTATCCAGGATTGCCTAGACCTTGTCATAGTCAAGCTTTTCTGCATCTTGCTTGTACCTAAGCTCTGCTGGGATCCACTGGGTTCTTCTGAACGTCACATGCCGAGGCTTTGATAGACCAACTGTAGGTTTCCCTGAGCTGTGCTCTTTCTTCCTCCTCTTTAGGCAGTTCCAGTGTGCACAAGGAAATTATACTGGAGCTGGGCCAAGAGGATTTGGGCTGGTCAGGACACTAGTGAGAAGTTTTTAGGCTCTTCTGTTGGCTGTGCGTTTTATCACTTTAACACAGGAAAATGTCTTGAACATAAGGTTTGACTAGTGAGATACTGGAGGAAAGTAAGGCAGCGTCTCCATCTCTGACAGCGTTTTGGAAGGCTTTACCTCTGTCCTAGGAAGGTCTAGGGCTGTGAACCCAGAGTGGAGAGAGGCAAGAGCCCCCAGTGAAGCGCATAAACACGAGGGGTTGGATTTCAGATGCAGTTCAAGCTTCATAATTTCCTGGTAGCTGTTTTAGAGAGTCTGCTCCAGGGCCTGCATCACTGTGCTCTGAGCCAGGCCTGTGCTGCTGGCCGAAGGGACGGTCCTACTCATGTTCTTCCCCATTTCACTTGTTTCCGCTTCATCCCGTGCACAAGCACTGGTGTTCCCACCGCGACTCACATCTAGGAATTGCAATCCTTCTGTGGGTTGGTGGGGTTGGTTGGTTGGTTGGTAGTGGGTTGGTGGGGTTGTTGGTTGGTTGGTTGTGGTTTGGTGGTTTTTTTTGAGTGGGGGTGTGTGTCAAGTTAACTTTCAGCAGGTCACAGAATCACAGAATGGTTTGGGTTGGAATGGACCTTAAAGCCCATCCAGTCCCACCCCCCTGCCATGGGCAGGGACACCTTCCACTAGACCAGGTTGCTCCAAGCCTCATCCAGCCTGGCCTTGAAGGATTTAGATTGTACCCTCTGCATGACTCTTTCATGGTGGGAACAGGCAGACAAAAACAAAAGAGAGGGAGGAATGGGTAGGTCATCCCCACACTTTTGGTCAGCAGCATGGACAGATGGACCCTATCAGCCCCCAGTAGACCAGGTTTCTCAAAGTGAGTCCCATCATCTAATGGTAGCATTAAAAATAAAAAGGGAATTCAGCTGATGCACAGTAAGCAGAATGCTTGACCATGGCTCTCAGTCACGGGTAGGACGAGAGGGATGCGTAGGCAAAGGTATCCGGCTGCCGCAGACGTAGGAACAGGAGATGGTGTAGATGAGATGAGGTGGAGGGTTTACAGAAGAGGCTTTGCTCACGCAGTGTTAGCTTCCCTTTACGAGGAACACTTTCCTGATGTGGTTTGTTTGGAAGGATAGAACACAAAGACATGGCAGAAGAAGGAATTTGGAGTGGGTTAAAGGAGGTACAGGAGCACGTAGGTTGACAGTTTCTGTAGAGGCTACTGGATGTCTTGGCACAGCACTACTGTCTTGTGTGGCCTTTATCTTGGAATGATTGGGTACAATATGGAGAGAGGGAGAAAGCAGATAAATATCATTCTTATGACTAGTCTTCCTAAAAGAGTGTATGAGAAAGTGGCTGTTACTTTTTCCTCTTTGCTCACAGCAGAGGAGTTAACTGCTGTGGAATAGGAAATCTGACTGTATAAAATGAAGTAGAAAAGACAGGGAAGGATTCCTTGGAAATAGAGAAAACATACGATGACACATGCTTTCTTTAGAAGCTCAAAGATATGTGGTGGAGACATTATGCAAAAGTTCTGTGTGATGTATAATTTCCTTGAAAAAAGGAAGCTGACAGCATTGAGTGAGAGGTTTCTTCAAGCTTTCACTGAGTAGTGAAGCAGGGAGGTAGAAGTGTCCCGATCCCTGGTTTTAGACAGGAGGAGATGCCGATTGTTCTGAAAGGATAACCTTTTCACTGTCTTGCTCCTGGGAGCCCTGAGTGTCCTTGAGCAGGAACTCTTCATTGCCTTGCTGCCAAGCCTTTGTTTCCCCAGCCGGCAAGAAGGCAGCGCGCTGAAGAGGACAGCCATCTGCCGAGCCAAGCAGAAGCTATGCTGGGAAAATGTGGGGATTTTTTCCAGCTCTGCTTTCCTCCAGTCTCATTTGAAGAAGAAACAATCTTAACCCACCCAACTCTGGCCTAGCACTTGTAAGTGTCTGAAGGAGAGGAAAGACATGGAGAGTTTACAGGCATTAACACCCAGGATTAGGAAGTTATTAGTGGTTGGCTGAGGAGTGGTGGCTGTCCTTGCTCACGTTCTTAGTCGCCAGCAAACAGCGGCTTTTCTCCCAGAAGAGAGTCGCGTTACCTTGCTCTTGTCAACAGCCACTGTGGCTTGCCTTATGCGTGCTGACCTTGAGCTTGGTTGTGTCTGAGCTGAAGTTACTGAGAGGTAGAATTTCACGCTCTCTAGAGCAGGGAGTTTTTCTCCATGCGATATATACTATGGGTCTCTAGGTGGTGAGAGATGACTTCTGGAGGAAAATGCACTCCTAGAAAGTGTCTTTATGAAACAGAAGTCTCTAACAAGACTCCAAGCTCTGTCGGATCAAACCAGTGTTTCATCTCACCCAGAATCCTGCCTTCTTGTGGTCTCCAAACACAAATGTTGCAGATCCTGAGTTCTTCTCTTCTCTGGAAATTGTTAATTGAGGTGGGTGGAAAGAGATGCTCATGCTGGAGCAGTGGGAGCAAGTAGGATGTTTAAAACTGTCTGAACAGGATAGAAGACAAAGAAAGGTGGGTTTTGTTGAAAAGATGTGGGAGTGGTAGCTGAGCCCTCTTTACCCTGTTTACTTTTCCAGTTCCTGTGCCTGAAAAAGGCCACATCGTAAGTGCAGACAAGACACAGTAGAAACTGTAATGGCATGTGAGAAGAGTGCTTTAATGGGTGAATTGCAAACAAATTGGATGGTCCGTGAGAAGTAAGACACGGAGAAGACCTCCTTTGTGTGCAGTTCTGTACCCAAGCACACAGAGGTGTGTTTCCCGTTGCTTGCTCTCAGTCTCCCGTCTGAGAAAGTCTGTCTTTCTGCGGTGTGGCACCAGGCAGAAGAGCAGGAGACTTGGTTTGCATGGACAGCATTGCTCCTTGCCAGTGGGGAATCTAATCTTCTTAATGGCTGGCCTGGGTGGCCTCCTGACTGCTTTCAGTTGTATAGGACATAGGAGCAGGATCGCGTCCTTAATGCAAGTGTAAACTTGAACTCAGTACTGCCAGTTTATTTGGTCAGCAGGAGTGTTGGTCTGGGCATTCTGCAGCAAGATGCTGAGATAAGTTTTGCTGGTGACAACAGTTCTTCATTTCATCTTTTTCACCAGACCACGTGCAGGAGGTCTCATTCAAGTGAACCGAGGGAGAGTACTGAGGATGGAGGAGTTTAGGATAGGGAAGAAGATCAGGACAATGATTCTACCTGGGACCAAAATGTGGGAATTTGATCCCGTTGCGATGCCTGTCGCATGATTGTGCAGTCATGCTGGGTTTGGGTAATTCTTAACTGACTCGTGCCTTACTTTGCGCCATCGTGTAACCTGAATTTGGATGCATCTGACAGTCCATACTGCATTAGTCAAGCGATAGTTTATAACATAGTCGTTAAAGTGACTTTTTTCTTTTTTTCCCTTGTAGCACACATCCGCTGTGAGGACGTGTTTGGCATCTTGGGAGAAGATTTTACTTTTCCTGTAAAAATAGACCAAGAAATAACGGAAATTCTTTGGACAAAAGACAAGGATAAAGTGGCTGAATGGGAAGGGCAAAACAACGTGACATATTACACTTCTCTCCAGAACAGGGGCTTGCTTAACAAGGAGAATGGGTGCTTGACGATATTTAACCTGGCAGACAATGATAGTGGCACATACGTGTTAGACTACTTTGATTCTGAGAAAAACAATTCTATCTTAAACTTCGTACTTGCTGTGTTAGGTAAGTAGTGGAATAACTGCCTGAAGAATTTGCACCACTTTATTCAATTTAAGGCGGCTAGAAAGGGGACTGTTTATCTGTGAGGGAAGCAAACAGAAGGGGGCTCTGTTGTTAAGTTGCTTAGGCACTTGAAACAAATTTTCAGAGGGGGCATCTATTTTGTGTTCCCTTCATTACTCACTGTGGTGTGAGTGTAGACGGCACACTGTACTTTCAGGGCAGTAACAAAACTTTGAGCAACTGACCGAGCTATCCCAGGCAGTATGTGCCTACTAAAGATGCTCCTGCAGGCATATTATGCGTGCTTGAATACCTGTGGCATCGTCCTGTGCAGATAGAATCATAGAATGGTTTGGGTTGGAAGGGATCTGAAAGACCACCCAGTTCCACCCCCCCTGCCATGGGCAGGGACACCTTCCACTAGACCAGGTTGCTCCAAGCCTCATCCAGCCTGGCCTTGGACACTTCCAGGGATGGGGCATCCACAGCTTCTCTGGGCAACCTGTTCCAGTGCCTCCCCACCCTCTCCGGGAAGAACTTCTTCCTGATATTTGATCTAAGCCTCCCCACTTTCAATTTAACCCCGTTACCCCTTGTCCTGTCCCTACAGGCCCTTGTAAAAAGTCCCCCCCAGCTTCCTTGTAGCCCCTTCAGGCACTGGAAGGTGCTATAAGGTCTCCCCGGAGCCTTCTCTTCTCCAGGCTGAACAAGCCCAACTCTCGCAGCCTGTCCCCATAGCAGAGGGGCTCCAGATGTACGCAAGCTTCGTTAGCAGTCTTTGGGAAATATATTTGACCAGTGTGTATATTAGTCCTGTTGACAATGAGCCGTGAGGGGTCTCAAACCAGGCACTGAAGAACCACAAAGGGGGTCACTTCTAGAAATACGTTTCTCTCTCACGCACACACGCACCCCTTGCACGTACACTTTTATCTATGCACTCTCCTGCTGCTTTTGTTGCTCCAGCCCTTGTCCCGTGCTAAAAGTCAGGGCAGTTCGTAATGCAGAATGCTTTCTCTCCTTTTAGATCCCCCTTCAGACCCTGAAATAAGTTGCAATGTCAGTGATGATGACATTGTGTTAAAATGTACAGCAGATTTCCAGAAGCCTCTGAATTACACGTGGAAGTTGAGCAGCATACAAGTCACACATCAGACCCAGCAAGTTTTAATCCCTAAGAAGAATGTTGATGTTTCCATGAAAGCTACGTGTTTCATTAAATTCTCTCAAATGAAAAAGAGCTCTGACATCTCTTTGGCTAAGTGCTTTCCAGATGAAGAAAGGTAATAATGGGTCAGGTTGTATACGTGACTCTGACGGGCTAGGTTGGGAAGCAGCATGGATTTCGTAAGATTTCTACTGACTTCTCAGGCAGTCAAATTTAAATTTAAATTCAAGTAAAAAGCATCAGGAGTCATTTGTCTGCTAAAGTGTCTTTAAGGTTGGTGAAAGGTATGAGGTTGGCAGTTTAATCCCACCCTCCCACCCCTGCCCCGGGAAAGATACTTTTTGCAGGGATCGAAACAGAATTAAAACCTTCAGCTGCGACTTGAAATGAGTAATAATAAAGTGGGAGATGCACTTGGAGGATCTCTTCTGAATCTTCCGGCCTTGCGTAATTAATGCTAATTACCATTGTGCTCTTTGTACTGCTTTCCATGAACCAGCATGAAACTATTCCATCCTTTGAAGTCAGTAGATAAAATAATTTATCGTCTAGCATGTGCATGAGTCTGTAGGCATACTTCTTTTCCTCCTTCACAGACAGATATAAAAGGGAAAAAAGAGAGTTTTCCTGCTGGTTTGGGACAGCTTCAGCTGAGCTTCTGGTCAGCCTGAGCCTTGCATGTTTTTTGGTGTTTGTTTGTTGGTTTAACATATGATGTGAACGTGTTCAGAAACATCTGTTTTGTAGGGTGCGTAAGGCAGTCCCTAACTGACAAAATTTCCCACTTCTGTGCAAAAAGTGTTTTTCATGGTTTACCAGTATAGAGTTCTTCCTCCTTCACTGGAATTGAGTGACAGAGACTTGTTAAAAATGAGACGTGGTGGGTTGGAACTTTGCTGGCTGCCAGGCGCTGGTCAAGCTGCTCTGTCACTCCCCTTCCTCAACCGGAGAGCAGGGAGAAATTGTGACAAAAGCCTCCAGGGGCTGAGATCAGGAACAGGGTGAGCACTCCGCACTTACCATCATGGGCAAAACAGGCTCGACTTGGGGAAATTAATTTAATTTACTGCCAGTCAAAATCAGAGTGGGATAATGAGGAACAAGAACAAAACTAAAACAACTTCCCCCACCCCTTTCTTCTTCCCAGCAACTTCACTCCAAATTTCTCCGGGGGACAGAGAATGGGGTTGTGGTCAGTCCATCACGCACTGTCTCTGCCGCTCCTTCCTCCTCAGGGGAGGATCCTCACGCCCTGCCCCTGCTCCAGCGTGGGGTCCCT